ATTCATATTTTTTAAAGTACGCCAAAATGTTTAGAATCCCTTGAAATTCAGAGATATACAAAATATTTTATTTGTCATTTTTTTGAGCACTATAACTTATCATACCGAAAGTTAATATTTTGAGAATAACTTAACACTTACATGTTTCAGTTTTATCAGTTATATTTATATATATTTATAGTTATACAGATATTGTTTAGTATTATAAAAAAAAAAATCATTCAAAAAATTATTCTTCTTTTTACTTATTAACATTCTGCTGTACATGCAGTTTATTCTATAGTTTTCTAGCTTCCAAAATAAAAATTGTTCAAAAACTAGTAAATTAAATAATACTCTAACAATTAAGGTTTATTTCTTACTTCCAAAAATCGTCTAAAAACTAGTAAATCATAGTGATACTCTAACAATTAAGGTTTATTTCTACCATTATTAGTAATTAAACTCATAATTAGGAAAAAATTAGAGCCAAACAATTTTTCAATTTCATTCGTTGCGTATGTTTGTTTCATAATGGCCGTGACAATATCAAACTTGATCACGCTGCGATAAACAGTCAACATGTCATGCAAATATAATATTATAATATATATTTTTTAATTAACATATCACAGAACGTTAAGTGTGTCCATCAGTTAAAACTGTGACAAGCATATTAATGAAAATATGTTGTTCACTACAACTTTGAAGGAAGCAGCTAGTTATTAAAATCGGTCAAGTTGAGGACTGAAGTTGTGTCAATAGAATTGTGAAATTTATACAACATTGATCAATGTTTTTTTATAACTTTTAGAACAAGCACGTTTTCTGACTTGAAATTTTAATATGAAGATCTATAAACTTCTGTAAGTGATCTACAATCTTAAATCAAGTTGTCAATACTTTAGTCACACTTTAGTGATTTTATAAGATTTGCAAAATATATTTATCAATTTTTTCATGATATGCAAAATACGTGAATAATCCATAAACTGCTGTGTGGATATTTAAATCATCTGCAAAGATCTCCATAGATTTATAAATGATCTATGATGATGCATAAATGATCAAGATTTATACGTGGTATAAAAATAATCTGAAAATGTCCGTATAAATTGAAAAATGATTTAAGAACCCTTAATAACGTGAGCAATTCCTAAGAATTTTTAGACCCTCCTTCTCCTGGGTAATCTTGGTGATATTTAAAGTTATCTCCCATTTCTCCACATAATATCACGTGTATTTTTAGTACCTAATTGTAAAATTTTTGACTTTTTTTTTTCACAAAAAATTTGGTTTTTTTTTAAATTGAGGTTGAAAAATAAATACACGTGATATCTTATTAGACCCCCTCCTTCGCCTCCGTGACATTTTTTTATTTTTTGTCAAAACTCTTCTTCTAAGGCCCCATGATTAATGGACGCCCCCTAAGGTAGCCAAGTTGATGGTTTAAGCTAGTGATTCCCAAAGTGGTCCACAAGTGTCTTATATAATTTTCGAATAATAGAATTCTAATTCTAAGTCTAAAATCCATTAGTGCAAGTCCATTTCGCAAACGAATGGGTTGGGTTGGTTCAATTCTCTCCTCAATTGCGTGCTTTTGGGGGGTGAGGTTGTATAATTTCAGTGTTCAAGGGCAGAAGAGTTCATAGAATAAGAGGTTCAAGGTTCAATGTGGCACACGGTGATTTATCAGCAACAATAAATCGTACTATATTCTTTGAAACGTTTATAAGTAATTTGATTTGAAGAAAAAAATATTATAGAAATACACAATATGAAGTATTCAAGCTATGATTCGTCAGAAGTAGTATAACAATTCCACAAATTAATTGATTCATACTAATTGTTTTTTTTTCTATTTAAAGCAATAAAAATATGAATCAAGCAGTTCAAGTTAAAAAATATTGTAGATAATAATGATGTTTTAAAATGTTTTAAATGCTTCTACTTTCTGTGCATTTTGATAAAATTAGTATATAATTACTTTCTACAATATTTTTCTAACCAAAACTGTAATTTTGGATAGCAAAATATATTGAGAAAACTGTTTTGATATAGTGGTTTAAGCCATGGTGCCTTAAAGCAAATTACTGGAACTTTCTGGATCACAATTTAAAAATTTTAAAATTCCAAAAGAATTTGTTTTTTTTGAACATTTTTAAAATTTTGGAAACATTTGTAATATTTAATTATTATTTTTTTTTGTTGAAAATACTGATTTTTTGGAAACTAAAATTATTGAACTTTTTTAAAATTTCTCGAAAGTTTTTGATACTCATTGATATCGGTTGATTCACATTACAAAATATCTGATTTTCGACCGCCAAATGGCATTTTTTAACCTTTTTTCTCTGAATCCCCAAAACCGCATCTGCAAAACTCGATAAATTCTTCATTGAGTCAATATAAGTAGAATGTTTTTTGAATCATTCAAATCGGATGCTCCATTATCTCGAAAACTTAATTTAAATTTTTTGTTTTCTTTGCTTCATATCTCCGAAATGACTGGACCAACTTTTGCCAAAAACTATTCAGCACGTCTCCCTATCAATATGAATCGAGGGCTCTTTGAATAATCCAAATCGATTGAGCGGAAACTCAGGAAAAATGTCGACGAAGAATTGTATCCATACACACATACATACTACATACACACACATACACATACATATACACATATCCGTTTTTTCTAAGGTATGTCAAAATGTTTAGAAATCTCTGAAACGTAAAGATCTGCAAAAATATTCATTTTTGATTTTTTGGCGATTATTATAACTTACCCTACGGGAAGTTAAAAATATTAAAATTATTCCCCAAATCCTAAAATATTATTAATATGGACTTAAATATTATAAAAAAATGTTTTAACTTTGAGTGTAGGTTGTGAACACTCTTATTCTATCAAAAATAATTGACAATTATGGTTTTGAATAAGTTTTAAAGCTCAAACTTAAAAAAAAAATATATAAAATAATATTTCTAAATTTTTTCAAGTATAAATTATGATACAAATAAAAGAATGGTCTATATTAAACACTAGTACAAAATGTATTATTCTCTTAGCGCTTTTCAATACAATATTTCAATATTATATTTATAATATTTATATTTCAATATTCAAATTAAAAAAATATATATTTTCCAGAAACAATAATTGTTTCTTTATCAAATAAAGAAGTCTAGAGTAAAAATGTTTATTATTTTGTAATATTAATAAATCGATTATCCAAGTTCATCGACACATCATTTCAAAGAGGATCGATTCTAAGAGCAAATCCATGTTGAATCGTGTAATAATACATTATTTTTATTTAGAAATGTTCTTCGTCCAACTCGAGAAAATTAAATATTCATTCATTCTGAGATTGATTGGTGTAAAAAATATATATATTCAAATGTCTAGCCAATGTTGACATTATATGAAGGATTTGTGTGAGGTATTTCAATTGTTAACGACTCAATTATGCCTTTGACTAGTCGAACAAAAATTATAATCGTCGATGAAAGATGGAACATTTTAATGATCGAGATGCAGAAAAAATCGCAAAATATAGAAGTCATCAATATTTTCAAATTTATTATTGTGGAATTTCTAATTTATAGAAAATATTTATAAATTTTTTATAAACTTATTAAACTTGTTTATAAATTTTTTATAATAAAAACGATGTAAAAAAATCGCGAAATATCGAAGTCATCAATATTTTCAAATTTATTATTGTGAAATTTCTAATTTAAAGAAAATGTTTATAATTTTTTATAAACTTATTAAACTTGTTTATAAATTTTTTATAATAAAAACAATAGCAAAAATCAATCCTTTATTTTATCAGATGTAACGTTTTGCTAATTTATCATTTTACAAATAAAATTACATAATAAAAATCAAAATAATGTTATTGAAGATATAAATCTTATTAACCCTTGTTAATTAAAATTCTTCGTCTTCCTGATCGTTCATAAATAATATTAGAAAGACAAAATATTCCAGAAGAACATAAACCATGAGAAATTATTAAAATAAATCTACCTACAATCCCTAATATATTTATAGTAAAAATTCCACCTAATACTATTCTTATATGAACAACTGAAGAAAAGCAATTAGAATTTTTATATCTCTTTGTATAATACAAATAAAAGATACAATTATTCCTCCATAAATTGAAACTTTTATTATAATTGTATTACTCTTTATAAAATTAATTAATAATAAATAAATACGTAATAAACAATAACCCCCTAATTTTAATAAAACTCCTGCTAAGATTATTGATCCTGCAATAGGAGCTTCAACATGAGATTTTGGTAATCATAATTGAACGATAAATATTGGTAGTTTAAATAAAAAAGCTCTACTAAAAAATATACATAAATATATATATCAACAACTTTTATTAATTTTATACCGATTATATATCACGATTTAAATAAAAACCCTATATCGTCTAACTTCATACTTAATAGTTAATACATTCATCAGCGAGCCATCTGTTTAATTTATTTACACTAATGACCGTTATATTCAAACTTATTATAAACAAATATTATAAGTAATATATATATATATATATATATATATATATATATATATAGCAGAAGTTTTTAAAGGAAAATTTATAAAAAAAAAGAATAAACAATGATTAATGGTTGTTAATTACTTAATTAGAATAATCACTTTAATAATTTTCTTTTTTATACTAAATAATTGTTGATTATAATTGATTTATTATGTACAAAGCTATATATTGTAGATAGAGGTTCAAGACAAAAATAAAATACTGTCTTTAAAAATTTTATAATATAGTTTTGAGAATCTCAATTTGCATTACTAATATTAAACTTTCCACACGAAATATCATGCACCAATCTTACATCATCATAACCAATATGACACCGACATAAACGAATTCTTTTAATATTTTTGAGGTTATGTTCATGATTCTGACGTTTTGAAGTGAAGTGATTGAGTACTTAAAATTATCAGTTTTTTGTGTTGAAATCGTTCTGAATTAACAATGGAAGGACCTTCTAATAGCAATAGACGTTTTAATTTAAATGATCTATATAAAAAGAGAGCTAGTATAGATGAATCACAAGCAAATCGCCGCCGAAAGCTGTTAGAGCATCAAAAAAGAAATCGGAGAACTGCTCATGATACTTCAAGACCATTATTGACACAATTTGAAGAAGAGGACAAAACCGAATCCAAACCAAAGAATCAAAATGCTTTTTCGAAGCAGTTGATGCTTTCTGAATGGATGGAAGAAATACCTGCAAATTTTGAAGATGATTGGCTCATGGTACCTTGCCCTGTGGGTATGAGAGTGCTCTTAGTTGCTGGCAGGGGCAGAACTAAGGCATATACAAAACATGGTAGATACATATTTGAGTTCCAGTCTGCTTTACCTGGTGGAAGATTCAAGCAGTTCTACAAAACAGCAAAAAATACAATTTTAGATTGCATTTACCATAAACCAACAGAAAGTTTCTATATATTAGATTTAATTGCTTGGGGAAACCAATCCCTTACAAATTGCGATAGAGGATTCAGGTATTTTTGGCTGCAAGGAAAGCTGTCGGAAGGAGCAAAGTTATTGGAAAAAAATTCACACTTGAATATGTTCCCAATTTTGCCTTTATCTCACTATGAGTGTAGTGTTGAAAAAATTTCCTACGTATTAAATAATTGGCCATTATTTGGCAATAATTCTCCAAAGGTTGATGGGTTACTTTTTTACCACAAAAATGCTTTGTATACAGCTGGATTCACTCCAACAGTTTTGTGGCTGTATCCTTTTATGGTCCCGGAAATCATTAGCAGAGGTGTCATGGTGAATGATAATTATATGCGGGAAAAACCAGTTGACTATAAAAACCAAAGATTGTTTATCGAAAAGTTCAATCAGGAACGAAAATCTTGTCTAAAATCAATGGTTATAAGAACAGAGGATACAGTTGATAGCTCAGCAATATCAGATCTAGACCAAGAGATGAAACTAATTAGTATTTGAAAATTTCATTGGAAATATTTTCAAAGCTAGATTTTTATAAAAGCAAAATAACACTTTGTTGCATATAATTAACCTAATTGTGAAATATAATTGAATTGATTTTGAGTTTAGTTCAATTCATATTTTTATTGAAAATCCCTAGGTTAAAGCGACCGTAGCTAATCAATCATGTTCCATATTGAGCAAAATCATATTTTTCCATGAATTTTTCTTATTATAACTGAGGGCATTTTTGGCATTTCAAGCACTGAAAAATGGAGTGACATCGTGGCGTCAATTGATATATGAATCTACAAGAGCATATTTTATTTAAAATTTATTGTTGAGAAACTGAATTTTAGTATCGTACTAGGTCCTACTTTTAAAATAATGAAATGTAATGATTTATTTCATATTTAACAATATAACCTATAAAAATATTTAATTTTCCTTGCTAGTTATTAATTAACCATGCATAGAGAAACGAAGGATAATTCTGCTTTCTATGAAATATACATTATTGATGTTTTGAGGGAAATTCTTAAGTTGATTGAAGACTGTTGATCTTTCTGATGATCAATTCAAACATAGATAACATATCAAAAATGATCCTGAAAAACCTCTCAAAAGCCAAATGGATATTGGTTGCGGATTCCAGATCCAAGAATTGACAATGTATCCCAAGTGCTATATTATATTGGATTAGAGATATATCTTAAATTGCAGTCCCAGATGCTAAAATTTTGGCGATTGAAGAAATTAACACATACTAAAAAAACGAGAGATGAATCAGCTAAAACCAAAGCACATATTGAGTTTTGCTAGTTGTAATTGGCCAGGTGGACAACTTATGGTTTAAAATCAAAATAATTATTGATGAAAATGTATGGAAGTATCCAATTTTATAGTATATCAAATAACATATTTTTATAGTGCTAAAGTATTTTATTTGGTATACTATCAAAATAAACATGCTCATTTGATTTTGAAATATTTTGTTACTTAAACAGTATTGTAAATTTAAATTTAAATAGTATGTAAAATGATTGTTAAAAAAATGAATTTAATAAAATGAATATAAAATTTTTGCTGTATTTTTTTGGTCATTATTAAGTCATGATTTTGAACAACTTATAAATCACAAACTATTTATGAAATATATGCAAGATATTTTTAAATATACAAACATTTTAATTTTTAACTTTCTGTAGGATAAGTTAAAGAAATTGCAAAAAAAATCGAAAATGAAAATTTTTGTTTATATTTACGTTTTAACAACTTCTGAACATTTTTGCATAACTTAAAAAAAGGAATGTATGTGTGCGGATATAAATTTTCAAAGACGATTTTTAGAATACGAATACAAATTTTTCAAAAAGTCATATTTTCTTCAACATTTTAAACTCTCGAAAATCTATTTTTTTAAGTTTTCAGAAAATTTGAGCTTTTTTAAAAAAATTAGTTTTCGGTACGAGAAGTTTCAGCAATTTGCCTTAAGGCACGATGCCATGCACCAGTTACTGTAATCGTAAAAAATCGAAAATAAGGTTTATTGAACTTTTTCGCATATATTACAAAAAAAGGATGTGTGTGTATGAGTGTGCGGATACAATTTTTCATCGACGATTTCTAGAACACAAATCAACCGATTTGAATGATTCAAAAAGTATTCGACTCCTATTGACCAAAAGACGTATTGATTAGTTGTTGCCAAAGGCAGGACTAGCCGGTTTGAAGATACGTGCCAAAAATGATAAATTTTTGTTGAGAGAACGGAACGTCGAATTTGAATCATTCAAGGAACATTTTACTAATATTGACGAAATTAACAACTGGTAAACTTTTTTCAAAGATCTTAAGAAAATTATAAAGCTTTTAAAAATTTAAAATCATGGTACGGGAAGTTCCATTAATTTGTCTTAAGACACGATGCCATACACCACTAGTTAGGAAATATTTTTACATGGAAAGGCTGACATCAGTTTACAATGGATGCATGAAATCCATTTACTATATTCCCTGCAAGTCATTTTATTTAATATTTTTGAATAATATAAATATAAACCTGTCAGCATTGAAATAATTATTGTATGGAATTCTAATCTCGTGCAACAGCATTTGCATATTAGAACAGTTTAAAAAGCTCAACTTACGATAAGGAAGTGATAAATTGACTGAATCACTTACGATTAATTTCATTTGAATTTATGAAACAACCAGTTTGTGAAAAAAATATATGCGTTGTGGAAATTGTGTAAGTTTAATCTATTATGAAATTTATTCAACGGATAATTGCTGTTATCTTGAAATTACTACGAAATAATTACTATGTAACTATAAGTACGAGTATAGGTAATGACTTGGCTTTGATAAGAGGGAACTATCAAGATAAATTTAACAGTGGATAGATTTTTTTAATTGGTGAAAAAACGATTTTAAAAGTTATTGAGCTTCAGGAGAAATTTTTTCCAGAAAATCCGACGTGCTAATTTTGTTTTCTCGACGTTCTAAGTTATTGTCAATCGTTTGAGACCAAAATTGGGAAAAATTGTAAGTTTATATGTGAGCACATTTTTGACCTTAGAGGCGACCTTAGAGGCGTCCATGTAGCGTATGTAGGTTTTTAGGGGGTGTTTGACAAAAAATACAAAATACACGTGGGAGAGAAAGGGGTATAGTAAGATATCACGTGTATTTATTTTTTACCTGAGTTTTTTTCAAAAAATTCAAACATTTTCAAAAAAAAAAAATCAAAACTTTTATCATTTTTTCTTGTAAATAAAAATACACGTGATGTTTAGAGGGGGAAGGGGAGTAATTTTTAATATCACCACGAATCACCAAAGGAGAGGGGGGTCCAAAAATCCTTAAGAAATCAATCACGTGATTAATGGACAATCTCTTACGTCGCAATTTTCTCAAAAACATCTGAACCGATTTTCAAATGAATTTGAAAACCATTCGATGAAACTCGATATGGACTTGTGTTGGGTAGATTCTGGATAACTATTTATTTAGAATTAGGAGAAAAATGAAAAAACTTTTGTCCTGAACCAATTTTGAAAATGAAATAAATAATTTTAAAAAAATCTGAATTTTCAAAATATTTTGATCTATTTTGTTACAAAATACACTTCAAAGATTCAAAATATATTAACGTACTTTTCACAAAAACAAATTAATTTAGAATTATAATAAAAAAAATACAATTTTACTACAAAGCGGTGAGTTCCAGAAATTTATCCTATGACTCAGATCCAAGTTTTGTTTTATTTTAAACCAAATCTTTCATCTTGAAACTTACAATGTAGAAACTAATGCAAATGGAAATATTCGTACTGACATGTTTTGTTTTGATAAGATTTCTTGGAGTAATATATTCAAATCGTGACCTGAGCTATATTTCGTATGTAATGCAATAAACGCTTATTATAATGCAAAATATTCTGTAACACTTTGCTGCAAAAACACCGGCAGATCTAATTTTTTTTTATTATAGCATGAGTCACATGGTAGGTAGACCGTCAAGTTTCTATTTTTTACTTTGAATTTTTCAATGATGAAATTATGAAGTATTTTACTATTTTACAATCCTGATTAAAAGCGCTAACTTTTGATGAAACTTGCCAACACGCTTTAGTACATTTTTTTAAAGAAGGGCTTCTCAAAGTCGACCAATTTGAAAAAAAATGTATTTTAACAAAAAGTTTTAAATCTTGAAAACTTGGATCAACTGCGGTGTTATTTTTTTGACTGTGGTTCTGGAAATGTATTCACGGTTACGGTTTTTCAGTTTAAATGAACAAAATTATTGAAATTTAAACGCAATAACCGAAAAATAGTCATAATTTCACCAAAGCTCTAGGTTGCACTTAAAAGCTCATAATTTCCAAACAACGTGAGATATATTTTTTTCTAATTTTTTTCATCACAGTTAAGATTAATCGATCATCCCGTTTCGGTTTGACGTTGAGTGCTCGGATATCCGGCTATATATAGACTTTCTGTATGAATTTAAAATTTTCAGAATTGGTCGATGGAGAGGTCCTCCTTTAAAAAAAATGCACTAAAGAGTGTTGGCAAGTTTTATCAAAAGTTGCCGAATTTAATCAGTATTGTAAAATGGTCAAATACTTAGCAGTATCATACTACAAAAATTCGAATAAAACAATAAAAACCTTAAAAGCTCATAATTTTCATAGTACGTGAGATTATTTTTCAAATTTTTTTATGACGGTTATGATCAACACTTTAAAATATGCTGAAAACTTCGAACTTTTTTTTCAAAGCAATCGCGCTGCGCTACGTAAAGACGAAATATCAAAGCGCGTAAGCGCCGCGTCGCTGTCTAACAGATGAACAATGTTACGGAACCCATAGAAATGTAAACAGAATTTATACTTATTATTAAAATCTCTATAAAATATTTGATAATTTGATGTGCATATGTCTAATGATCATTTTTGACCTCCAAATGGCATTTTTGTACTCGATCTCCGAAACCGCTAGACCTGCCTTCCCAAAAATTTAATCAGTTCTTCATTGTGACAATACAAGAAAAATATTTATTGAATCTTTGAATTTGGATACTCCATTCTCATAAAAAATAAATTACCATTTTAGGAACTTTTTGTCCCGTATCTTCTAAACGAGTGGACCTGCCTTGTCTAAAAACTAATCAGCACGTCTCCTTATCAATGGGAGATAAATGTTTTTTAAATCATTCACATCGGTTTAACCGTGTTCCCGAAATCGTCGTCGAAAATTTTATCCGAACACACACACACATATATACATTCATTCTTTCTAAATCATGCCAAAATGTTCAGAAACCTTTGAAACGTAAAAATATACAAAAAATTTCATTTTCGATTTTTTTTCAATTACTAGGTATACGGGACGTTAAAGAAATTTAAATATTATCTGTACATCTACATGTTAGACATATCGAATATTTTGGTATATTAGAGTATTAACCGAACTAATAAAATAATCATATTATTATCGTATTATTTTTTACGACTCCATCCACGTGTGTAAATAAAACCATATGTTATTCCGTGTATTGCAGAATTTGCATTATATGTTCTGATGCACAAAATAGATTAAAATCATCATTAAATATTCGAGGAATAAGGAGGGCAGACCGCAGGGAGCGCCCCGTGATGTAATATAATGTTCGACATCCGATCAAATTATGGCTGCCCTAAATGGACGAAAGAAATTAGGATTTTCTTTTATAAAATATTGCATTATGTACTTACACGAATAACATTTTAATGGCGGTAAAACTAGAACGAAACCCGTCAGGATTATATTCGCATAATGTTATTACAGCTTTACATAATGTCAGGAAAAATTTATGAAAATCTTGCACAACTACAGTTGAAAAATAATAGTTTTTTTAGTCGAGTCTGTGTTCATCTGTAGAACCATCAATGCTTTTGCATTACTTAAAAATAATTATAACTATAAAGAAATATGTTATAGTCCAAAATTCAAAAATGAAGTTTTTTGCATATCTTTACGTTTCAGAGGTTTCTAAACATTTCGGCAACGCTTAAAAAAAATTGATGTGTATGTGTGGGTTATGTATAGATAAAATTTTTCTTCCAAGATTTGAATGATGCAAAAAACATCCGATTCTTATTGATAGGGTAACTATGTGCTGATTAGTTTTTGGCAAAGACAGGCCTTTCGGGGATATGGAGCAAAAAAAGTGCAAAAAATGGAAATTTAGTTTCTGAGAGAACAAGGCATCCGATTAGAATGATTCAAAAAATATCTAGTTTGTGTACTGACGAGGTGACGTGCTGATTTTTTTTGTGAAGGTAGAACCAGCCAATTTAGAGATACAAAGCAAGAAATGCAAAAAATAAGAGTTACTGAAAGAACTGATCATTTGATTAGAATTTTTCAAATTAGTGTGAAGAAATGATTAGTTTTTGGGGATGAATAAATTTTTTTTATTTCAAAATTTAGATTTGGAAATTCTAAAGACTGGGACTGAAATTCGGATTTCAGTTTTAATTCAGTCTGAAAATTAAAAATTTCTCAAATATTTTTTTCCCTTAAGACACGATACCATGCACCACTAGATTTTTAATATAGTAAGAACTTATGTTGGTTTAGCACATAGAAAACCATTTAAATCTTTTATAGACATTTTAGTTTATTGGAAATAAATTAATCAAGTAATAAATATATTTGCATTTGTGATTGAACAAAACAAGAAACAAAAGATATGAATATGTAGGTACTTAAAATTTTGGAAATGAATTAACTCTAGCATAAAATAATAAAATTTAGAAACATTGTTTTAAATTTTTTTATATTAAAAATATTTACTTATTTATAAAATTCTGATATTTATAACATAATATTCTTGAAAATCAAATTATTGGTTAATTAACAATTATTTTTTTATTCTCTGTTTTAGATCAGTTTATGATTTTTTAATTCTGATTTATTTTTATCGGAACTTTTAGCTATCTAATGCTTAAAATATTTATAGTAGATTTCATCGTTCAGAACAATATTTTAGATAAACTCACAATCAGTATTTTATTTATATGTTATAGAATTATATTTTGAATCCATAAAGTACAAGTAAATATTTTTTTACTCAACTACAAATAGATATAAAATTAGAATATTTAAATTTGCTAATGAAATTATGACTGCTTTTTGTGCAAAGTCTTTGTACCAATTATCACAATGTCTTGTATAAATTTTTACGTATGTAAAACAATTTTATAAATTTGAGAATTACCACCATATGTGCAACCATATTTTTAACAAATTTATAAGTAAAAGTAAAAGTAAAATTATAAGTTAATTTATAGTTATCGATTATTATAGTACAACTCGAGTCTTTAGAAAAATTGTTATTTTGGAACAATGTCTTGCGAGTGTAAAAAAACAACAAAAACATTTCTTTGTTTAATTAATATGAAATGTATAATAATATTCATAAACATTGTTACGGTATAATACCTTCGTAATAAACTCATTTTTTAATCATATAATGCAATTTAAAAGAAAATTTAAAATAATTAGTAGAGAGTAAAACTGTTTTTTATTATTTTCCGGAATTTTCCATTTGCTCTGAAGAGGGCTATCACATCAGCGCATTGCGATTTGAAATCTAGTTCTAGGAATCTATAGACACGCGTTCTGGGGCAAGAAGTCAGATATATAGCACAATTGTTTTTATGCAAATCTAACCTCGTTTAGCTCGATTCAAAATCGTGAGATGCAAAATCACAAGAAAAATACTAAAGATTTGGGAAAATACGAGTTCACATTGGTCATATGCGAGAATTCTGTACAAACCACAAAAATCATAATTAAAAAATATTTTTAATTAACTTATGTCCTATAACAAAATACACAAACCTTCTTATATTTGAATATATTCAGTCTTATATTTGAAGAAGTAACACTGGCTACTTCTACTATTTTTCATTTATTTGTCATATGTGATTTAACTATATTTAATTTACTAAATGTCGACTAAAGACATTTGTAAATTATATGGTAAAATAAAAAATAAATAGTCTCACAATTAATACAATTTGTTTCCGCAAATTGTGCAGCTTTATAGAAAATATATAAAATTTTAAACGAAATGTTGGGCTTTAAAATTATCGATTGCTTATACCTTCTTACACTACAGAGTCTTTCTTAATAGTTCAAAATAAGGATTGTGGCATAAGCGCTGGATAACATTATTGTCAAATGATAATAATATCTATGTGCTGTACAAAAAACTCTAGATTTTGATATTTTACGATAGCAGATTTATTCAAATTAAATATTTTCTAATATTAGGTATTCATTTTATATAAAAATTTGTTAAGTAAAGGTATCGATTTGTAAAGATTTTTTTGAATACAAGATGATTTAAATGAAATATAAATAAATATAAAAATAATAACTTTATAATAAAAGCATCCATCTCAACCTCTACGAGCAAATAGTGAGTTTATATAAAAAATATTTGTTCAAAATTTTCTGCACAATTTTTTACACGATTAAAATAGAAAGATTTTAGGCAAATTTACCTAAAATACATACATTTAGCATTCTGTATTTATACAGACGAGAGGTTTGTTATGCAACAAAAATATTAATTCTTAAAAAAAAATATGATTTTAAAAAATATATCTATATTGAGGTTTTTTGTTCGACTTTGTTTACTTATAAATCTGTATTTTTTGTATTAAATATTGTAATTTTTTTAGCTGAATGTTGAGACAAATCTGGTCTCGAAACGTCTGAACCTAAATAAATATTTCTATATATTTTGGGGTATTGACTGTTTTTTACCGCATATCAATATATATACATAAGTACATAATTATAATGTGAATTAAATAAAAAATAATGTGGTTCATAGAAATACGCTACAAAATCATTGTTTTGATGCCTCTAAATTTACACAGAAATATTTCACTGAACGCCAATGTATTTCTAATTCAATAAAACATTTTACGGTGTAAGGAAATATTTAAAAAAACATTAATATTTATTTTAACAAAATAAAATATATGCATTAGTTAATTTAAATTGTCTTACCTTAAAAGTTTTGTATGAAGAACAAACATAAGAAGCGCCGTCTTCCAACTCGTCCAAGCTGTACTTTCTGTCTCCGTCCATTGAAAAAACATATCGGGCGCCCCTGAAAAATATAAAGAATTCAAAACATTAATAATCTAGGTTCTATAGAATATATCATATCTATAAATCTATAAAAACTTCACTATTAGTACTGTTTTCCTAATAAGAATTATTTTTGATCCATTGTGGATTAACCATCACCACTTTTCTTACATTACGAAAATTTAGGATTAAATTTGAATTTGAATACTGAAGGGGTTGCATGGCAACTACATACTGAATGAAAAAATGATAAAGCTAATAATCTTGGTTTGGGAACAATCATTAATTTTAGTTTTTTGTTATAATATAACTAAAATTACATTTGTCAATTAACTGTTGCCGAATGAATATTGCAGCAATAGTAGAATGTTGTGGATCTTATTAAACTAGATTCCAAATTCTATGCTTATCGTTTGCTATAGAATATGTTTTACACAAATTAATTGAATTTTCTAAATGTTCTTCTCTTAAATTGTATTTGCTAATACCAGTTACTGTATTAACTATTTTCTCTTTAAGCAGTTGAATTTTAAACCCGGATTTTTTAAATTACCATAGAATTTAACACACTAGATATCTCGAATTATGCTTAGATGTGTTATCAATATCAATTATCCTATTACTTCAATATATAGATATATTACTTCAATAGATTTCTATGTATTTCTCGATCTATTCATACTCTGGTCCGAATTGATTTTCTCACCTTGGTAAATCCATTCTCAAAGACAATTTATCGAGAAGCGATTCTAACGTTGCAATATCTCGACCTGGTTTAAACCTAAATTCTACGCCTGGAAAATACGGATCACCATTTCTGTAGAAGAGAACTCTTCTCGCCTTCCAGTACGATAGATTTGCATATCTGCTACCCGTACCGCTGTCAAGATTGTGCTGGAATAGAAATAGAAAGAATTTTATTAAATTTGTTAGGTGGAATTAATAAATTAAAATACATAAGAACAAATACAAAGTCAAAGGAAGTATTCAATCGTGTACGTTTCAGTTTATTTGGTACTTTATGTTGAAAATGGTTGAAGCAATGGATTTGAGTTTTTTAGAAGCTATTGTTCTTACGTATTTGTGAATAATTATTATATCTACCTATACAGAATTTAGTTCTATTTTTAGCAAGAAATATTTATTTAATCATTTTCAGGTTAGTTGGCCAAGATAGTGCCTATTCTCTCTAAGCAATACACCCTCAAAATACAAGATTCATATATCTGCACGTTGGTCAGAAACCAAGGATGGTGATGTCAATGTTTTTAAATTTAATGAATCAGTATGACAAATATCAATAATGTTACATCATGATAAGAAATTTTGCAATAAAATTGAAGTTTTTATTTGGTGCATTTATGAGCTGAAGAGTGTTGAACTATGTTGTTTAATTAAAGCTAACTGAAAAATTTGGAGACTGATGAAACGATCAATCACTCCGACCAGTGTTGGGATAGAGTTGCCAAAATAATTGAAGTTGACAGCGTATTAAATTAAGATTGGCAATAAATGCAGAAAAGTTTAGAATGTTAAATCAGTTATCTTTTTTTGAATATATTAGAAGATACTGCCAAATTTTAGAAGCTTTCAACCTTTAGTGCATTACTTTTTTGTTCTCATTTTTTAATTTTTTTCAAAAGAATTTGAAATTAGTTTAGTCATTTACTAAAAATTTGGTTTCTGATAATTACCGTGTTCGCTTGAGGGTACCGTTGCGGCATGGGTGGTCCTATCGAAGAAGTCTCGCTGCCCGCGGGGGGACTCGCCGCCCTTGACTGCGCACCCATAGCAGTAGCGCCCCATCCGCCCCTACCAGCAGCGACCTAGAATATAAAAAATAGAATTGTTTTAAAAAAATTGCTAAATTTATTTTAAATCTCCATGCTACATTAATAGAACAAGCCTAGAGTGGTTTTAAATATCGTTCCAGAAATTATTGTGTACGATATTTGGATATTTGAATAAGCGTAGAAGTAGGAATTTTTGAGTCGTAAAAAATTTTTATAAGTCAATATTATGCTATTTTTGGTATAGATATAATAATCCATTCGATGTAGAATGACATTTGTCAAAGCCTGTCTTATTTGTTGAAGAAATTGGAAGCCAAAATAAAGTTGAACAATAAATAATTTGGTTTCGAAAACTGAATACAGGATTCAATATTTTTATATTAAAAACAAATATATTAAAGAAGCAGTAAGATGATGATAGGAAAATGTAATCAATTATCAAGATAGGGTAACAACATTTAGATTGTTTGATTTTTTACAACAACAAAGATTGAATATCTAAGAAATGAAAGCGTGAAACAAATTATAAATTGGGACCTTTACATTTTAAAAACCTGGATACAGGATCCAATATTTTGACATCCAAAAAGGAAATTTTAGGGAAACAATAAGATGAGATGACGATGGGAAGAAAAATTGTTAATTATCAAGAAAAGTTTATTAAATTTAGATATTTTGCTTTTCTACTTTTTGCCAGGATTGCTTATCTGAAAAATGAGGGCATGGAACAGAATATATTGGGCACATTTAAATTTTGAAAAACTTTGATTCGATATTTTAATATTTCAAAAGAAAATTTTAAGGAAGCAATTAGATGATAATGAGCAGAAGAAATTGTTAATTATCAAGATAAGGTGCTTTAGTGAAATATAGACTTTTTTAATCGACTTTTCTCACTTGATATCAAGAATACATATCTAAGAAATGAGGACATGCACTAGAATATATATTGGTCACTTTTAAATTCTGGTAAACTGAATATAGGATCCAATATTTTGATATTCAGAAAGAATATTTTAAGGAAGCAATAACATAATGATTAGAAGAAGAAATAGTTATCAAAATCATGTGAAGAAATTTAGGTCTATAGAAACGACTTGCAGCAAGATTGCTTGTCGGATAAATGGGGGCATATTCCAATATATATATTATATATATATATTTTCTGTGTTATATATATCGCCCTCAAGAACTCATATATATATATATATATATATATTGGGCACTTTTAAATTTTGAAAAACTTGGATACAGAATCCAATATTTTTATATTGAAAGAGAATATTTTAAAGAAACAATAATATAATTATGTGAAGAAGAAATTGTTAATTATCAGAATTAGGTGAACTAGTCTATTTAGAAATAACAATTCATTCAAGATTGTATACCTGAAAAATGTGGGCATTTATCAAAATATATCTTTTATTGTTTCAATTTTGAAAAACAGGATCCAATATTTTTATATTCAAAATGCATATTTTAAAGAAGATATGAAATGCAAAGAAAAAGATATTAATTGTCAGGATCAGGTCAAAATATTCAGATTTTTAGAAACGACTTTGCGCAAGATTGCGTATCTGAGAAATAAGGTCATGTAACAAAATATATTGGGCACTTCTGAATTTTGAAAAACTGTATATAGGATCCAATATTTTTATATTCAAAGATGATTTAAGGAAGCAATAAGAGAAGTAATAATAATAATAATAATGAGAAATTGCTGATCATCAGGATCCGGCGAAGAAATTTAGATTTTTTGAAAACAACTTTTTGCACTTTGTGCCAAGATTGAATATATGAGAGATTACGACATAGAATAAGATACATGTTTGGCACTTTTTGGAATTTTGAAAAACTGGATACAAGATCCAATATTCTGATATTTGAATAGGATTTTGCAAGAGAGCAATGAGATGATGATGGAAATAACAAATTTTGACTTATAAAGATCAGGTAAAGAAATTTGGATTTTTAGAAACGACTTGGAGCAAGATTGCTTATCAGAGAAATGAGGGCATGCATAAAAAATATATTGGGCACATTTGTCTTTGCCAAAATATTTTTATATTATGGAAGGATGTTTTAACACAGTGATAAGATAAAGATGAGATGAAGAAATAGTTAATTATAAAGATTAGGTGAAGAAAATTAGATTTTTAGATACGACTTTGGGCACATTGAGTCAAGATTGCACACCTGACAAATGGGGCCATGTATCAAAATATATATGAGGCACTTCAAAAAAAAAGTATCCACCAATAAAACCAAGTTCAGGATATGGAACAATTTATCTAATTATCTTATCTTTATCAATTTCCACTTACTTCCTCTGTGTCGTCGTCCTCCGAGTCCGTGTTTTCAGCTGTCACTTCTCCCCTGGGCTGATCCTCTAAGCTGTCAGGTTGGAGACCGGCGGCAGAATCGGCCGGCCCGTTGCCGCTGACCGCCGAATTGTTGGCGGTGACAGCGCCTCCGTTGTCCTCGGCTGCTGCTGAACTCGATGGCGGTGGGTTGTCTTGCTGCCGGCTCGGGGCTCGGGACTGCACTGATGTCTGCGCTGTTGACACCTGCGCAAGAAGTTGATGGTAAGCTACACGTGCGGAGCAGATACGCGCACAGGGCCGAATTGGGAGGAAATAGATAGTTGGATTTGGGATGAGAGTTAGATTAGAAAGAGAAAAAAATTGAGGTTGAAGTGCTGAAAACATTTTCGAGATTTTGTTGACCCTCTATGGGCCGAATTTTTGTTTCACATCCAAAAATATTTGCGGAACAGAAAATCTGGAATTCTAAGCTTATAGATGCAAACGAAAACAAAAAAATCTGTTTGAACCAATTTTTTGGTATCAATAAATTATATGACTATGGATTCACAACGGCCTATAAAGTTTGCACTTCTATGTATAAAAATGTTATTTTAGGTTGAAATGTCTAGCAAAGATCAATAATGTTTATATTCGTTAACTTGATAACGTTATAGAAATTAGATTTATGCCCCATTTCACAAAAAAGTCATTATTATTTAGCAAAATATCGAAAAATTTCGAATGCTGCCTGAAAGTTACGCAAAATGATTTAGATTATTCGATAATGTGAAGAAAATTGGTCGTTTTGTAGTGATTTCTTAAAATGCTAAAACATGATCTATCTGTGCCCTTTTCAAATATTTTGGATAATATAACATATTTGAAATTTGAATAAAATGTTATTGTCTCATTTCAAAAAATCAATAAATTATGGTCTATAGGCTTCAAATGTTTCTCCGATCAAATTGGCTTTCCGATATTACAAATTGGAACAAACGCAGCAATTGACAGAATCAAGATATTGTGTAGAGCTTCGAAAAAAGATTCTAATGATAATAAAAAACCAAAAAGATTCTTAAAGATTTTTGAAAGATAAACGTTTCTATATTTTATATATATATACGTTTTGGAATTAAATACGTTGCATCTTCAGGACATCTGGTAAGAAACGTGATCTTGACAAGAATCTTTGTAAAAACTTTTAAGTTTTTTATTATCATTAGATACTTTGTTCGAAGCTCTACAGAGTATTTACAAATCCAAAGCCCAAGCATCTAATTTTTGACAAAGATTTTAGAAATTTATCTATTGAAATTAAAAAAAAAAAACAAAATGAATAAACAGAATTTTGCGCTATTTGAAAGTTTATAAACATGATTGTAATTTAGATCATAGCAGATTCATAGCAGTTATAATGATTTTTCAAGTAATTCATATTATTTTAAATAAACTTAGATTTAAAAAAAAATTAAAACTTTTAATTATCAACTCTAAAAATTAAGTAAATTTGAAGTATTTAATTTTATTTTTAAATAGTTTTAATTAGAATTAATATATAATAAAATAATTGATGAGTTCAACACGTTAATTGCCATGTCAATCACATATGTCTGAAGCCAAAAAGTTCTTCATGAGCCATGTCAGACATATATGTCTGACAAATTGACCTAAAATGTTATTTGTTCGTCGAGAAAAAATATTTTAATATAGGGTTATGTTTGTTATATATCTGTGACATAAAAAATAATTTTCAGGAATTTTGGCAAAAGAAAAAAATTTATTGGATTTCTTTGATACATTATTAACTAAATTATCTAATAAAGTCACCAAGGCCCATGTCAATTTTTTCTGATTTTATCGTTGCGATTAACTTGTTGATATTTATATTGAAATAAAAATATAATAAACAACGATAAAGAAGAAGAGGTAATATTGCAATAGTGCAAAATTTATTATTTGACCATCCTAATTTATATTATTTTTATATTATTTAAATCAATTTTCAATTTTTTTAAAGATATTAAATAAATTTATTTATGCCAAAGTTTGATATGTTTTCATAGTGTATTATACTCGGTAAAACTCGCTTTAAATCGCTCACGCGCCTAAAGAAAAGATCGTTCCTTACGATTACATACTACGATTCAGAGTTTAGAAACTTAATTTTACTTATGAAAAACATTTATATTTTTGTTAAAAGTATATCAGCTTACCACGTTTATCTTGAAAATCATTATAAAAAAAATTGTTCACCATTTAAAGGGGTGTTCTAAAGTAGCGATTAAAGAAAAAGAATTTTCTTTTGTTGCCTATTTTCAAAGTTTAACTATTTAACAATATATGTATAAGCGGTTTTTTTTTCATATTTAAATTATTTTTCGAGATACAGTTGTTTGACCATAATAATCCTTTTTTGTGTCTTTTAAACGCGTTTTTCTCAAACCTGTCTCTTTCAACACGATGCCCACGATTTCTCGAGTTTTACTAAACGTTTCTTAATAGTTTTTTTTTTTGCCTTATCACCTAATTTCAATTTTTACTATTTTAAAAAAATCATGAAACTCAAATTTGATAAGTAAAATGGACTTATTTTCAAACATTTGCCATTTTTTGAAAAATTTATTTTTAACCTAATATTAGTGTATGTCATTGATTGATACTTCATTCTACATCATTCTACATTTAATGGTTTTTTATTCTGAACACACATGTAAATTCTTTGGGACTCGCCACTTCAACAACTGGTAATTTTTCAAGTGATTAACTTTTTTTTGTACTCTTGTTATATTGATAAATAAATTATAAAAAAAATATAGTAAAAAAATTGATTGCCCCTTTTTCACGCGAATTCAAAAATAATCTTCATGTTTCTACACTAGATAATCGCAATGTATTTTGAGAAATTGAAAAATTAGATATTTAACTATACACAATTTGTTAAGTCATCTATTGAGACTAAAAATATAGTAAATCTTTAGATTTCTTTTCGACATTCAATAACAATAGAAAAAAACACTTAACTAGCAAGTACGTAGACAAAACAGCTTGACCCATATCAACTATAACTTAATAAGTTCGGTTCTCAACTGATTTTCTTTGAAAGACTTTGAAAGCTTTAGAGAGCTCAAAAATGTTTATCGGAACGTTAGAAAATATTTTCCAAATAACTCTTAATTACAAATTAACATACAGACAAGAAAACTAGCAAACATAATCAAAGCTTCAATATGAAAATAAGCTTCAAAATCGAAGTGCATTTTTAACTTCAGAATTGGCGTTGTTACTTCTGAATAAAAACACATTTTTTTAACAAAATTGCTCGATTAACTAGATTTAATTAAATTAAAATAGTAAGTTTTCAATCCCTGTTTTCTTAAGGCTGAATTGGAAAATCTATAGCCGGTAGCGTGCTAATAAGAACCGAATGAAAATGGACTCGCTTGACCACTAGTCCAGGGTCGTAATAGGCACAAGTTATATTTTTGAAAATACAAATTTTATTTATAATAATAATTTGAATATCATAAAAAATTATAATCAATTGCATATGCATAATATTATAACAATTTTCAGTTTTAATGTTTATGTCTATTTATGAGTTGCACCATGATATGAATGTTTTCAACCCTTATAGATTTTTTAACAATTATTTTGCTTAGAATAATTGAATTATAAAATAATAAAATCTATCTATTATTGAAAATTATTGTTAACTCTTTATCTACATTTTTTGATAATATTACGCATGATTTAACGTTTTATGAACTTCAACAGTTTAATATTTCAAAAATTCCTAGTTTTGCTCAATGTAAGTAGCAACTTTTCTGAAACATCATTAGAATATTAATCCACTTTCTATTAGAGTAATTACAATTTTTTTTTTATTTTTATTTCTTATTTATATGATTTAATTAGTATCAATTAAAAATAATCCTTTCTCGTAATTTCTACTTGAAAGCTGTTGTCCGAGCTTTTTGTAAGATGTTGTGAATACATGCATCGATTATTTCTTATTCATACTTTTGTATATCACTCATCTATTCATCAGTTATCTACATCTCATACTGTCGTATATTTATCATTTATAAATATATTTATCATTTACAAATGATTTAAAGTTTCAGAAGCTTTTGGATTCGCTCAATGGCGAGTTCTAAACTATTCTATTGATAAAACCAGTGTTAGTGGTTGAAAATTTTACTCACCATCATTTTATAATATTGTTTTTCCGTTTTGTTTTTGATTGGTATCGTTTTAATTCTTTTCGAAATTGTTCGTTATTTTGAGTTTTATAAATTTGAGGTTAGAGTTCAGGGTCCAAATTTCATACATTCTGGATGCACTTGCGATTGATTCACTGCAAGGAAAAAAATAAGGATTAATATGTTGTTAAATGTGATAAAAAAATATAAACATTAATTGAAATTGTAACTTCTGTACAAAATCATAAATTGTTCTAGTTACATATATGTGATAAATATAACAAGTTGATCTATAATAATAATATTTTTATAAAATCTTTTTTAAATGTTGTAGAGTAGGTATATGAATGAGTAATTTAGTTCAACATTTAATAATATCTGTTTTTAAGAGATTTTCGAGCAAATTTTGTTATCAGCACTATAAAATGTATAGAGAAATAAAATTCACGTACTAGACATTACAAATTTTAAGTGAAAATTTTTAATTTTTTTTTAGCCATTAATACTGAATATAAATATTATAAACATGTACTAATAACTTAAATTATTAAAGACGTTAAATTTGTCATCACAATTATTCAATAAAACATAAAGGGTAGTACTGCCCTAGGGCAGGTTCGTGATTTGAGCTAAACCCGATTCAGGGAAAAATAAAGTAAGAGATTTTCCATTGCCATTTCACATCGCAGTGCCCTAAATGGGATATTTTTAATTCTAAACGGTTCAAATAGATTGAAAATTAATATATTTATTATTAAATATATTTACTATATTTTAAACGAAAATTGATATCACTACTGCATGATATCAAGTTGTCCAATGCGGGGGTTCGAACTCATGTCTTTGTTCACACAAGGCAGTGCGCTTAACCGTTATGCCATGGAACACAGAAATATTTAATAAAAATAAAGTAAAGAAATTTACAAATTTGCAAAAGAATTTTATGATATAATTTTACAATTTTCTCAATTGATATACCACAAATATATTGTATTATATATTTAGTTATATTATCAAGGCAAATAGAGTATAATAACCATAATTTGGAATGCAATAACT